CTGAAGTCAGTGTGCATCTGTTCATTCTGGTGAAGGATATAATTACCCCATATTGCACTCATTTTATCAGCCATTGCTAATGTTTTCTGTGTGATCCTCTAAAGCTTTTCAAGAATGAAAGCTCTGTCTGCTGCTCCCAGCACTTTGCCTCTGTGACATATGAATTGTGCCAAATCCATTTTGAGTTTTTGTTTTTAAGCTCTGAGTACAAGGGTGAAGTGAAAATAAAGTGTGAATAATGGTCTTTCTCTCAAAGGCAATGTGATATTGCGTTGAGCTGAAAAATTTACTCTCCTACAGATCGGCCCTGCCAGTACGAAGGGCTGATTGATGCTGAGCACGATCCAGCTGATATCTGATATTGGGGAGGGGGAGGGCTCTTCAGTGTTGCTGACAAAGCTCTAACAAGATCCAGGGACTGGAAGCTGAAGTTAGGCAAATTCAATCTCTCAATAAAATGCCAGTCATGAGCATAATAACATATTATAACAGTTTATTTGGACTCGTGATGAATTCATTGCTAAGAAGTCTTTAGTATTTTCTTTTAAAATCCGTCTTTGGTTTCTGGGAGAAATTCTGTGGCCAGCCTGTGAGCTGGAGGATCATGGTGATCCCTTTTGGTTTTGTAATTGAAGTGCACTTGTTAACTTCCCTTCTTCACTAGGCAGTAAGGAGAACACACTTACCAGAATTGCCCTTAACAATTCTCATAGCACCTGCACAGAGATAACTGTTCTAATTAAATCCTGTCCTTTAGGACTATGTAGAATTGCCCACAGAGATGGGAGGAATTGTGTGCTTTCTTTCCCTTCTCTTCCTTTCCCCCCATACTTGTTTGGGTTGGATCTTGAAGGCTTATTTTTAAGAGTTTCTCTTTTTTAAGTTCTTTTTCTTGACTGCAGCACGGGAGTGGCTCACCTGATGGGATGTAGCTCAGGGAATAGATTGCCCATGGTCACAGTAACCTTTGTCAGTAGTGACACCTATCAGGCTCTCCCACCTCCACCAGTCAGCAGTTCATTCACCTCTGCGGTATTCAGCCATTTGTGCTCTTGAGAGCTGGAATGATGTTTTAGTGTATTGGAAGCCTTTGGGCTTCATATAGGGACATCTGGATGGAGCTTAATGATATGGGATATACAAGAAGTCATATTAGTCACAGGAGCTGATTCCCTCCTGATCTGAAACTCTTTGAAATATATGAAATTAGAGGTTGCTGAACAAAAGAACGCTCTGCACATCTCACAGGATTGGGGTCCCTGATATTTCCCTGTCTGAAAAGCAGACAGCCCCCACCTAGTGAATTGTCAGGCCTGGGAATATCTTCTTGAACAGTGTGCTCACCTGCAGGCTATTTGGGAAGTACCAGGGGTGTCTGAATATTGCTGCCTGAAGTCAAATGTTTCTGTTATTGTGGGTATTGAGGAAACTCAAGAAAAACACGGGTTTGTGAAATCATTATATTCAAGAAGAAGCGCTCTCTTCTCCTGCATTTAGAGCCCTGGTAGTATCACATTCTGTTTTGACAGCTGTCAGAAGTTAAATGAAAGATATTTGGGGAGAGGAGGGCTGAGCTACAGAAGAATTGTTATTTGCAGTGCTCGCCAACAGTTGCCAACTCGGTAACATACATGCTGTCTGTTATTCTTTCTTTTCTCCTTTGCTGAACTTCTGCGCCTTTTATTTCTGTGGCTCTCGTAATGGGGACCAGTGCAATTCAACCTGCGCTACTTTCACTAGAAAACATATTTTTGATACCTTGCATGTGAAATGCAGCCCATGCGCTGTCGTAGTTTTTCTCCAGTTCTTCTTCAGTGACTGTCAACTTCCAAACTGCTGTTAGTGCCACTGTCTTCCTTCCATTTACCTTTTTTCCTTCATTTTTTTTTTTCCCAGCTGACACCATTTATTCTCATAGGTTACTGTAGCAGTTCAGTTTTTAGCATGAAACTCTGCTAAAGGTGTTTCACTTAGCTGTTTATTAAGTGGTTGCGCTTAGTATTTATATTCAAGGGGGGGAGGTTCATAGGTGTCAGAGGATGAGCGGCTTCCATGCTTGCTTTCTGTTTTGGATTCATGCCTGTGGGCTGTAGAAATAAACATTATTTTAACTTTAACTTATTTTAGCTTTAACTCAGGAGCACCTGAAACTTTTTCTGTAGCCAACCCTTTTTATTATTCCATAATTGCAAATAAATATGCTCTCACAACGTTAGCGGAACTTGCAGGGAATTTGCAGAGCCTTAGATTATAAAGACCGCTATACCTCCTTTGTATCACACGGTGGCAGAAAACGCCCAGCATATGTTGTTCTGCTGTACCAGTTTGGTAAGGTATATGAGATATTTCGGTATGCAGCACTCTATAGAGAATATGTTACTTTGGAAAATTAAGTCTGTTTAATTGTCTGTGCAGGAAGAGCTTATTTTATAGCAAAGTAACATGCATTCATCCACAACTTGCAGAATGTGTGTTAAGGGTGTGTGTAGGATTCATTGAGGTATTACATCTGACAGTCAATGTATGTATGTGATAGTGTAGAAAAGATAATTATATAGCTGGAATATGTATAGGCATTTAGTTTTAATTAGGCTTTTGATTAAATATAAAAGTGCAATTAAGAGTGACAGATACAGTAGATCCTGGTAGACTACATGACAGTTTTTGGCTAGGAAAACTGAGCTGATTTTTTGTCAGACGTGATTTTTTCTAAAGATCTCGGTGACTGTTCTATTGAGTCTTTGATGTGAACTACTCCTTATTTTCTCTCTCTCTCTCTTTCCTTATCTGTGTGTTTACAGTATTTCTGTTGGTAAAAGACGTTATATTAATTTACAAGAAAATTATTTTCTTTCAAGGAGACATGGTAAAATTTAGATGTTAGCCAAACAGCTAAGAATTAAATTTGGGTTTTTTTAGCCATGGTAATACATTTTAGCTGCATTTTGCCAAGCTTCTCAGATTTTCTTTTCTGAATGGTACTATTTCTGTGAACGTGTCTCTGAGCATGAGCAATTTGTTAAAGGCTTACATATGAGAGACTTATATAACATAGGAGGGAAAGGATATTAAGATGAAAATATAAAAGTAGATATTACAAGGTCTGCTTGTATAACTGACTCTGATATAGACAGGAACAAACTGCTCTAAGTATCATGTCTCCTATTGCACTGAGCTGTTGTTTATGTTAAAAGCCTTGGTTTTGCAGAATGCCTGGGCCAAGATGGGTTTAAAGCAATCCTCTGTGCACTACTTCTGAAAATAAGACCATGAACTAATTATGGATATGAAACTAAATATAACCTCGTCTCTTAAACAACTTGTCTAGGGTATTTGTCTGGTGTCTTAACTAAATAAATCAAATAATCATTACATAAAGTGATTGGATAGAGGAAAAAGAGCAAACCCCCCTTCAGCTACTGTCAGTGTATCTTGAATATGGTTAGTCATAGTTTAGCACAGTTTTGCATCATTTTGCACTGGATCTATGAGGCCTTTCAGTGTAACCCCGAAGTTGTGAGCCCAACACAGCAACTTTCTGGCTTTGTCACCAGTCTTCTGCAGGACCTGGGGCCAACCCTCCTCTTTGCTCTTCTTCGGCTCCGTTTCCTCTTTCGCTTTCCATCTGCCTTGGTTACTGACAATTTAGATGCTCCCGAGCAGGACTGTGCCTCTAATACACATTTGCACTGCTCGTAGGTGTTAGGATCCTATAGGCAATTGAGGGCTGAGTTATCAAAACATGAGGAGCTCACAATACGTGTGTTGCTGCGCTTAATATTCACTGCGGGGACAAACGGGTACAGCTCCTCCTTGACGTGATGGAGGATGATGGCCAGCCTTGAGAAATGATTTTCTGCACATCAGTAAATCCCCACACTTTCGTTAAATTGCTTACTTAGGCTCAAGATTGAAGTCGGCATCATTGGAAGGGCTCCTGTAGACTACAGTGCAGTGACACAGGCAGCTGTTTCCCATGTCTGTCTGTTACAACTTGTCATTTTGTTTCACAGTATGGAAGGTGTGAGAAGTGACAGGACTAAATAAGCACAGAGGGAACCGACTGTTTCATCTGGCCGTGTTAACGAATAAGCTGGGAGTGAAGTTAACTTCATGTGAAGCAGTTTAAATTATTTATTTTCAATCCTGGAACTGTACTTAACATGTTGTTAAGGCAGAGCCATGTTGACAGGGTGACGTTAATTACCCCACTGGAAACACATCACATTAGCTGAAAACAATTGTGCGCAGCTATCATTCATGGCTCTGGGTAAAGCCACAGCCTTTGCAAATCTTGGCAAACAGTTTCCCCCTCCATCCGTCAAAGTTCCTCCTGCATCCACTCACTAGCTCTTTACTTACAGCAATAAAATATGAAGTTTGATGATTGTGAGTTTCTTTTTTTCCCCCTCCCTTTTTTTTTTTTTTTTTTTGTAAGCTGAGTGATTGTGTGATTGATCTCCTCTCCATTAGACATGGTACGTCTTAAAAATGTGAGGATCTTCATTCACTGATCCACCGGCATGAATGTATATGCTTACTTTTCATGTAAATGCTTTTGCACAACTCCCTTAATGATTCAGTTCCCACTTCTTAATTCATAGCAAGAGTGTTGTGTCCTTCAGAAATTATTGTGTCTGGGGTTTACATTCTTTGCAAAGGTTGTGACTTAAACATCACTACTGAGAACTGGATGTGATTCGAGTAACATTTGTATGGATGTGTGCTAATAAAAGTGAGGAATTGACTTTTTCCTCCATTCTTGTTCAGCATTGTAATGAGTTAAGGACTCTAAAATGACTCAGCTGAAGAGTGCTGGGAATATATCTACAAGTAAATGAATGCCTGGCTACTTTGAGTTGCTACATTATTTTTTTTCTAGATGCTCTTGTTCCATGGTTAATGCAATTAGAGATTCAACTGGGAGAGTGCAAGTATGTGGTGTTTGTTCATTACGGTGTGAGCTTGTGCATAATTAACGTCTAACTCTCTGTTTGTAGGTTAGGCCAAAGACCCTGATTCCAGACAGCCTCCCTATCTCCCCGTGCAGAGACCAACCTTCCAAGCAGCCTCCTACCTTCCAGAAGGCAACCGTAGTCAGCATCAAAAACCCCAGCCCTGCCCTCCCGACTGCCAATAACACCGTCAGCCATGTACAGACGCCTAACAGCCAGTCACAAAGTGTCACCGAGTCCACAGCTATTTCATCACCTCTGAGCAGTGCAGGTGTGGCGTACGCCATCATTTCCACCTCCCCCAACAATGCAACTCCTATCAGCACCAGCGCGACTGTTTCTGTGGTCAACGATAGCATTAAAGTTCAACCACTCCTCATTAGTGCCGACAGCAAGGTAAGTTCTGCTTTTCCTGCCCATTTTTTTTTTTTTTTTTGGCTGTCAAACACAGGAATTGCATTGCAGATGTAAGCAGCATAGTCTCCTGGAAGTGCACAGCCTTGTGCAGAGTGATGTCAGTGGTTCCGTTTGAAGAAAATAATGAGAAAGCAATGGGAAAATTCTTAAGGGGACACATAGACACTAGTAGACACCTGTGTACATGCATATGTTTTAGCAGCACCAAATTGTGTTGTGATGTAGCCTGACATTAATGGGACCATATGATCTTCCATTTCCTTAAACCAATCCTCACTAATAATATCCCTGAATTCTGTGCAGGCTCGAGTTTCCTATGGATTCGGTCTTCAATTATACAGTGGTACCAGTTATATCAACTGACCCCAGGGGAGTATATCAAATAATCAGGCATTTCCTTCTACACTTTCAGGGGAAGGCCGAATAAAATGAGAGCTCAGGGTTTCAAAACTGGTCAGCAGATGAATCTGTGGGGAAAAAAAATCAAGTTATGAATTACTGGGTTCCTCCTTGTACCACTTTTCAGGTTTGAAATACAGGAACTTCACCACTGTCATACCAGAAACGGATTCAATAAAGGCTGTCAATGTAACCAGCAGACATTTGTTGTAATTTACTACTGGGATCCTACTACTCTGGGTCTTGTTGGCAGCACAGGTTCTCATACAGTGCTAAAAAACAATACAGGATTTGGGATGCCTTTTGTGGTAAATAAAAGCAGGCGTCTCTTCCCCACTTCTCTAACATAATTTATTTTTCTCATACTTAAACTGGCTGGTCGTTAAAAGAAACGTCCCTTTTTATGCTCTTGAATCTTCTAGAGCGACTGATATAAAGCATCCAACAATTAAATAGCATTGATTGAAAGTTAGCAATGAAATAGATGGAAAAGGCCAAACATTCAAATCCAATAACCTTCACCAAGAAGGTGAGCTTAGGAAGGTCTTCCATAGTCCTTCATGAAGCTTTGATTATGGGTATAAAGCCACATGTGTAGTTCTGTGATCAGAAATTGTCCTTCATTCCTTTTAATTTAATAGCTTCTGAGACAATGTTGTCTGCACTCTGTAAATCTTCATGTGGCAATTCAAATACGAGCAGCTGAATATGCTAACATACATGCATGTATAAGAGGTCTGTGTAGTAATGCCTATAGGTTCTAAACCAGAATTAATTTCAATTTAAAACATATGGTTTATTTTGTTGATGCAAAACTGGACATCCACTGCTCGTAACACATAAATGCTGAGGACTGAACTCTCATCTCAGTTACATGAGTAGTACTGAGGAATATCTTCCTTCCCATCCACACGTAGTTACTCTGAAATATAACTGGTATGACTGAGATCAGACTGTGGTTTTGAATGTGTAGTAATTCCTTCTCTTCTACCTGTATGCAAAATAAAGGAAAGACCTTAAACTCGCTGACAACACGAGTGCTAAAGCTAGGCTGCTGAGTCAGCTTCAGAAGTCCTCTAAATAGAAAGTGCCCTAATTTTCAGAGGCACTGAAGTGGCTCCCTTAGGCTGCAGTAGGTTTACAATGCACCTATAAAAATTAATTTTTAGAAACTTAAGTATGGATTTAGAAGCCTAACCTAGGTATCTCGTTTGTTGTATTTTTGGCTTGTGAATTGCATCTCGTATCTGTAGCAGTATCAAGTAACTGTTCAAAGAAGAATCAAAGGTTTCAGGCAGAAAAATCCAGTTTCATACAGTGATTTCTTTTATTTGTACATTGTCTTTTAGGTTATCATTATTCAGCCTCAAGTCCAAACCCAGACAGAAAGTAAAGTGGAGACAAAGAAACCTCCTGAAGAGTCAGCTCAGGGACCCCCTGCTACCAAAAAGAAAAAGGAGGAAAATCCAGAGGTGATTTTAATTTTATTTTTTTTTTTAATAAATGAGCTAAGTTATGGGGGCTATTTCTAAACATTTTTCTGTGTGCATACATAATTACTGCATTTGTACTCATGGTTCTCCCAGTTGTTCATCTCTAACCAATCACTGCAATCGAGTTGATTTCTCCACCAGTGAGGTGCTCTGACAAATTTGGTTTGTATCATTCAGACCTTCAAGTGTCACAAAATGTAAGAACTGTAGGTCTCATAATAATCTAAGCACATTGCGTGGGTATAGTGGCATTTCTTGTGAAAGATGTATACAAGCTTCAGATACTTTCTTTTAAGTTATCAAATACATAACATCGGGTTTACAGGCTGCGTATGAGGTTGAATGAACATTTCTTTTGTTAAGCTGAGCCTTTACATCTTCTTTGTAATGAATCTTGCAATTTTTAGATTGTATGTAACAATACAGTTTCTTGCATTTGCTGCGTACCTGTCTTCCCACATGTACACAGATTCTTTCTTGTCTGAAATACATTAAAATCCTGTAAGTTGAGTAAGAGATTAGAAAGCAGGTTATAAGATTAAATCTCTTTCATGAACTGTATTTGCTATGTAAATGAAAAATATAAATCAGAAGTCCTTGTAGAAATGGAGTTCCTCTTTACCAGGCATTTTGGTTTTTGACTAGATGTATTCACATTAGATTGTGTGTACTTTTGAGGCAATTTGAGAAGTTCTACAAACTGAATCTACTTCTGTTGTGGAAATGCTCAGCTCATGTGAAATCTTAACCTTACTAGTCTAATAAATGTGTTGCAAGAAAACATCCTTGGAGCTGTAGGTTTAAGAGGATTATTACAGTATGAATTTATAATGTTACTTGGGGCATGTCGGTGGTCATTCGTTTTACCATTTTAAGAAGTTCTTATAGTGAGAACAGTGTTAAGGATAAATAGTGGCTCTTAGCCTAGCATGTCACAGCCTTATGCAGAAGCCCTGCGGACCTACACTTACGAAACCTCCCAAGTTTGAAGTCTGACCCTTCATTGCCCCTGAATGGTGGGACTGTAGGGTCCTGTTTTGTTTAGGAAGGTATTTCCAAAAGATTATTTGTTATGTAGCACCTTGTGGGCAGAAAGGCTGGAAGATCCTGCTTAGAATCAGAATGCTAGAGAAACTGTTCCTTTTTCTGTGCCTCTAACTTACCCCTCCAGAAAGAATATTGAGCAAAAATCCTCTAGAGAGATGCAGAAAAAGACCATGGAACTGGGGACGCTTTTTGATATAGCATTCATAAATTTAATAAGTGTTTCATTAAATTGCTAAATAGAATATCCTGACTACCTTTTTTGTAACCAAGAACGTTATTCCTACCATGTATGCTGGAGGTCTCGGCAGGCACAATTTTCTGGGTAAGACGCTGAAGCTATGCCCTTCAGTATGACGATTCTTTTTTTTTTTTTTCATAGATTTGTTACACGGCCATAAATATGTAGGTCTAGAGTTAATTTCTTTTGTTCTTTGAAAGTAAACTTTAGTTGATTATCATGTATTTATGCAATTAGTGTAATTAGAACTAACAGCATAATTAGTGTAAATACATGTAATGACATAAATAGAACATGTAATTACAAAATGAAATGGTTTTGTAAAAATCTTTGTTTTGCTTCATGAAAAGACATACTATGCATTCTAAAAGCCCTCATGGCTTTCGAACAGATGATTAAATTTAAGGCAAAGAGTAACAAAGATACCATGATATTTTAAAAAAGAGAATAAGCACTCTAGGCACTTTTCTCCACACCTTTATTTATCTTCAAAGCACAAAACTGAGGCAGGAACTTGAATGTGGATCTACATAAATGTTAGTTGTGACAGACTGGGCTTTAACAAACTAAATCAAAAATATAAAATAAATAAACCAGAAATAACCAGACTTGCCAGTAGCCAGGAATCCCATATGCAGTTACTGAGCGTACCTGAACGAACAGAAAAGACTGAGAATAACGACTGTCTTCTGTTTCTGGCTTGGTCATTCTGCTGGAAGGTCATGAAGCCGATCCTGGACACGGCCCCCTCCAATATGTGTGCCTTTTGCACAAGCTAAAGATTTCCCCTTTCCCAAGGACATCATCATTAGACTAAAGCAAACCTCCTCGCATCAGCTGTCCTGCAGCCAGGATGCCTGGACACCTGACTGTGGGGTGGTTTTCCCTGAAGCAGGATGGAGGGCCTTGGCCACCCAGGGTGTCTCAGGTCCAGAGGTCAGAGCCTTCTCCTGGGATATGAGTCGTGAGGGTTCAGTCCCCCCAGGGCTGAAGAGGGTCTGGAGGCGTGGGCCACCTGCTGCCTGCCATCAGCAGGGCTCTGCTGGGGTTGGAGGCCAATAACTGGCTGTCTAGTGATGCGCCTTCTCCCACCAGAATGACCTCAGCAAAGAAATGAAGGAATTACGCAAGGGTCCTGTTCATCTGGGGAGCGATTGCCGGAGGGTTTGTTGGGTTTGTTTGTTTTTGTTTTTTCCTTAAAAGGACCTGAGTTCAGCACAGAAAGAAACAGAATTCTGCCCAAAAGTTTTTGCTTTTTAAAAATTTTGTATTATTTAATGTTTATATTTCTGGCAACATTTTCCAGGAAGTTCTAGCAGTTTTTTTATTTGAAGAAAAATTACTGCTGTAAACGCTGGTTATTTAGCTAACAGTGTTTTAGTCCCACCTAAGAAGGACAAGAGAGACACGTTGCAATGGTGAGCTAAATGCTAGCATTAGGCCTGGATTAAAAATCAGGAGAAATTGAAGCCTCAGTTTTGTGGATTCCTGCACAGAGGAGAAACAATAAGACTCTATGATATTTGAAAGAAAATCATTTCAGCGGAAGTAGTATTTTGAGTTGAATCCAATGAGCTACATGAATGTGAAATAGCGAAACTCATAAAAACAAATATGATGGTAATATCATATACTTGCTAAAAAAGAATAGAGCTGCTACTGTTTTTTGGGTTTTTGTTTGTTTTTTTTTTAAAAGGAACCATATTCAAATATCTATAAAAGCTAACCCTTCCTGTCTTTACTAGTGAGATAATTATCAAGTCCATTTATGAAGGCTCTTTTAAGGAAGCATGCTGTCATTACATTTAATTAGATATGTATTGAAATAATTTTAGTATGAAGAGAGGAAATCATTTAGTGAGCATTGCAGTACTCAAATAATTTTAGTTTAGATGTCAGAAAATGTATGCTACCCCTACAGTTTAATCTTTGGGTAATATAGTCATTCTGTGCTCCATTGGGAAAAATACAATCGCATGTTAACCGTTCCAGCTTTCTGATTCTATACCTAAACATTGTTAGTACTTCTCCTCAGAGTGCTGAGATGTATCCTACCACAAAGTTACTTTTGGTGGGGGTGAGGAGAAGCTTGTAATTCTGCTCAATTGACTAATTTTGTTCTCAGATCTGCATAGTGGATCTTGGATCATATATTCATCTTTCCCTTCAGGTGTGGAGCCCCCACTGTGTCTAGGTGGTGTTTTAGACATGTAAGGAGCGAATGTTTTTGAAATCAAGGTCTGACATGCAAGTGAACACATATGCATGTCATTGCCACAGTTATGGAAGGCAGAAATGTAGCATGAAAGTATCTAAATTGCCAGCGATGAGGTTCAATATCATGCAGGGAGAGTTACACACTAGGAGACTGTGGAAAGAAAATATTCCTTTCCTATGAGGTTGTTAGTTCACCTGTTTGACAGAGATATTTTCACATATGTAAGAGGGATATAGATGTCCAATCCTGACCCTCAGGTTTTGAAGAACCCACACCATAGCTAGATCTTTTCCTCTGCAAAATGAGGCTTTGCTTGCTTTCACAATTTCACTATGTGAAAGTCAGAATTGCAAAGGAAAGGGTAGTTTCAGTGACTTACAAGTTGATTTTTTCCTGAACTGCAATGAAAAGATGAATCATCAGGCTTTTCACAAAATAAGGTCAAACTAATTTTGACTTGTAAGTGTTGAAACGTGTTCTCCTCACAATTCTTTGATTGAAACAGAATGTTTTGACCTTCTACCACTCAAACAGTGTATTTTAGTTTGACCTAAATCTACGCATTTTATTTTGGGTGAGTATGATAATTGTGTCTTCCTACGGTCTTTGGATGCTTTACCACAGTTGGATCGTAGGCTTGGATTGTAGGCTTCGCTTGCTTGGATTTTGTAATAGCTCAGGTTTTGTAGTCAGATTGTCTCTTCTGTGGAATTTCACCTCATGGAAATGCCACTTGGGTAGCATGATCCGTAAAGATTGTTCAGCACAGCAGAGAGGGGAGGAGATCCCTGAAGCCCCAAAGGTGTGACTTCAAACCAGGGAGTTTGGTTCAATTTGGGTTTGGAAGAACACAGCATAATTTTAGTTTTCCATCAGAAAGATGAATTAAAAGCTTCAGCAAAATTTCTTCTGCAAGGAAAAATTTCCCAATAAAAAATCACTGAGAGAAAATTTAGAGTCTGCTCTAGTACTTGCCCTGTTACTGCATCGGAAGATTTGTTAGTATGCAGATGTGTTTTGTGCATATATAGTGTACAATAATTCTGAGTAATATTTTAGATCAGATTCCTCACTGCAGAATGAGTTCACCAGTGTCAGTGGAAGATGTTTATTCACTCACCATTGAGGGAAGATATTGGATCAGTGTACCTCTTCATAATTCATGCATGTGATATTTTGTAGCTTGGGAAGAGAAATTTCTGAAAGCTTTTTTTGGGTGAGGGGGTTTTCAGTATGCTTCAGATGTCTTGTTTAGTGTTATAAAGTTCAGTGAAAGTGTATCATATCTTGTTTTACTTCATACAGCTTGCTTACATCCAATAACAGCAGTGCCATGACCAGACAGTAATAATAATACACAATTACTTCTCTAAAGAGTGGAGTAACAAAGCAGCTAGGAATGTGAAATTGAACTGACTGAATTTTGATCATGCACTGTATTTATATCAGTAGTCATACAGCATTGGCTTCATAATTCTCTGAACTGCTAAAGTTCATATAGTCATACAGGTAGGGTGTGACTGACTAGGCATATCTGAAGCAAATCTTCAATTAAAGTTTTTCATATTACTATGCATTCAAATAAGATACATTTCTAAAATACCTTTACCCATTTTATTCTGTCAAGTCTAGATTTATTTATTTAGTTATTTCTACCATGATTGTTGTAGTAGAAAATCTAACCCCTGTTTATTTTTTTCCTTAGAAAATTGCCTTCATGGTAGCATTAGGACTGGTTACAACAGAACATTTGGAAGGTAAGATGGCATATGTTGCTTTACAGTTCAGTTTTTGAGTGAAATCTTTTCTCTTGGCTGATATGCAGCCAAGAGGAATGGGTGACTCTGTCCTCTGAAGGGCAATGAAAAATCAGGTGAAATGTTTTCTATGTGCAATTGTGCTTTTCAGCCTCAAAATAATGGGTGACGTTACTCTGCTGTGCCTCCCGTCCCGTTGAACAGCTTAAGGGGCATGAGAACTGGCTCTGCAGCCAGCACCAGCAGACTTGGCATAAGCTAGCATTTGGACTTACTCAGTCATCGTGGTCCTTTGAAGTATATTAACAGCTAGAGGGTAACAGTGATGCAAAAAGCCTCCAAATGCTCTGACCAGCACTGATCTGGCTGAAGAATCAGTGAGGTTCAAAGATGTTTACCCAGTTCTCCTGTAACAAGCATGCCCCCCTATCTCTTTCCCCGTGTGAGATGGACTTTCATTTTTTGAGTTAATCAGCTGTCAGCTCTAGAGTTCCACACAATGTGTAAAATAGTGGTGAAAACCTGGCATTTGTTTTATAAGATTTTAAGCAAATTAGACAACTACCTCTCACAAAGACTTCCTTCCCTCCATTTCCTCCCATTTAGCCAAAAAATAAACAAACTTCCAGTCTGATCCTGCTTTTGTGTGAGAGATGCTAGCATGCCTTCCTAGGCTTCTGAATATGAATCCAAACAAATATTGCACATAAACTAAATGCAGTATCGCAGAGTTTAGTTTACTTTTCCAGCCTTCCAAAGATGCCTTGCAAGAGTTAGCAGATTTGTACCTTTCTTTGCCTCACTTCTGAAAACATAGGTGGTGGTGGGGGAAGCATTTATTCAGCAAATTTGCCAGTGGTGTGAAATGAGTTGGGGGCTTCTTGGCAGAATGGGTTAGTTTTCATGGACAGAGAAGATACAGTTATTTTTAAGAAAAAATCTACAGCTTGATGTGTTTTAGTTACGTGCTCAGCTAATACAAGTTGGTGTGGTTGCACCGGTATAAGGAAAAAGATCTGGTATCTGTGTCAGCTGACAATGATTCTTGATCACAAAAAATGTTAATGATAATTGACATTTACCACCCATCCCATAGACCATCGTCAGCAAAATACTTAGGAATTTCCAGTGCACTGAGTTTAATTTTATGAGCTGTAAAGTTAGGCACATACTTAGATATCTTGCTGACTCAAGAGGTATCTACCATTTTACAGCTTGATTTCTTTTTAGTAAAATTCCCTATGGTTCTGTTCCTTAGTTTTAAGAGAGGTTGTGAATTAGGGAGAAAATAGCATCCTAATTGTAAGGTCTCCTCAATAAATGCAGCAGGTTTTCTGTGGGTGTTGTTGCCTTTTTTTTAGTGTCTTTCCTCTTTAAATCTGCATTTTAGAAAATCATTTAATGTCCCAGTGACTGAGAATTTGAAAGCAGTTTAAAGAAACTTTAAGCCATCGGCCTTTTTAATCCTTTAATGGTAATGGATTGAAATGGAAATTAAAAAGCTACAGCAATTTTGGAAGAAGATTTATAATCCAAAAAGTGCAAATGATGACTGGTTCTTGTTTTCTTTGTCTAAGGAAAATAGGACAACATTTGAAATTATGCTGAAGTGCAAATTATGCTTACAACAGAGAGAACTTCATTTTGAATAATTCTTTACCCTTTGATTTTATTGGAACTAATAAATTGTTTGTGTGGATTTAATGCTTATGTTCAAAACACCAAGTACCGCTCTGCTGTGTTTGTTCTACCATAAGTGTGGCGACGCACGTTTTGAACCTAACTGCTACAATACTAATCCTGCAGAATCAATTCTTTCAGACAAATTCACTTTTAATGTTCCTACTAGCTTTAAATAAATGGCTCCCACCAAGAACTACTTACTATGGAAAGGGTATTTCTTCATAAGTATTGGTGATTACAACTGTCAAAAATACCCTTATAGCTTTCACAAGCTAAAGGTTATTATTTTAGTGCTATGTCATATTTACGGTTATCGGCCATTGCTATTTATCAGGAAGCAATGGTCATTACACAGTTCAGTTTATTTTAGTACTTCTAACGTATTTCTCAATTTCACATTTTTGGAATTAAACAGTATCAAGATTGGGTCATTAAAAGCTTATTCACCCAGTATCATTAATTCACAGTGTTACTGCTTTTCTTCATTTTCTTCATTAATTTTGTGGTAAAAAAGCTATGATCCACTTCTATATGGATTTCTCTAGCAGCATTTCCACCTAACATCCAGAGGAGCATCTTTCCCCTCACTGGGAAAAGGGCTCTGTTCTGCAGAGCCCCAAGCACGAGGCATCTTTTGAGGCCTTTACCAGTAAATGAACACAGCCAGTTCCAGTGACTAACGCTCTGCAAGGTGCAGCTTGCCCTGAAGATAAATTGTCATTACGGGCCTCACAGAATGACCATACAGAGTGTTTATTGATGAAGGGAGCAGCTCATTGAAGCTTTGCCTCAGACATAAAGCTATCTTCAAATTTATTCATCTCTGTCAAATGTATTACGGTTTAGAGGTTTCTTTTTCTGTTTGGGTTATATTTTTTTAAATTAATAAAGTAAGGAATAAGATAGCCCAATTCTGTGATGCAGTGCATGGTTGTAACATAAAATCTCTTTTTCTGGGCTATTAGAACACCTTTTAGCATTACCATTGTGTAAAAAAAAAAAAAAAAAAAGGTAGAAAGAAAGAAAACTTTAAAAGAATTCTTTAGTTCAGGTAATTCTAAAAATGCACATCTTGTTTTACTGCAGCAAAATAAAAACCCTGAAATATTTCCATCTAGGTTACTGGAATCTTTTAGTCAGTTAAATCAAGTTATTTATTTTTACTTTATTAAGCCCTGTTTTGAAATGTACACAATACATTTTAGCTGAAGTAACAAGTAACGAAAGATACTGTACCAGCATATGCTTCTGTTCTATCTTGGTGTGATTATTTACAGATACACTCTTAGATGTACATACTGCTTATATCACAAGCATGAATATGTTTTGTTCACAGTTCCCATAAACAAAGTGCTGAAATTGTGCTTTCCCTCCCTGATGGCTGCATAGGGTGGAATACACCTAGAGCCATTTCAGTTCATTACTCTCTCTCTCTGTCTTTATTTCCATCTATTCCCACTGCTATAGCTTTTTCCCTCAGCCAGCTTTTATCTCTGTACCATAGCAATGCCTCTTCCAAAGCTGCATTCCAGGTGGTTACCACATGTGTGATTCAGACTCCATCAAATATTTCTGTTGCCTTGGTGAGAGCATGTACCGAAGAAATTCTCTCTTAAACCTGGGACCCAAAAGGGCAGAGAGCTACAGATCCATCACAGTCCTCTTGTGAAGACACTCGGCCCAGTTAGGGACACAGAAAGCTCTGCTGTGTCAAATTCTTTGTTTCTTTTTCTGGGCCAGTGAAAAGTCACGATCTTGTATCCCCGTGACCACTTCTGAAAGACTAACCCTGGGCTGCCCTAACTCCAGCTTTTTCCCTACACTGCCACAAGGGTGCTGAGGTGCTGCAAGCCCTGGATTCACTGACCACGTAGGGTGGGTTACTGAGCCTGGCTGCAAGCTGCATGGCTCCAGCTCACACTGTTGAGACCGAAGTAAAGAGTCAGCGGAGGTCCGCTTCCTCCATTTCTTTGCCAGCATCAAGGCACACGGTTCCTCTGTTGTGACATCTCTCACACTTTTTGGCCTTGAGAGCATTCCCTTTACAAGAACTGACACTGACATCAAGAACAACCATCTCTCTTCCAGTGGCTCTGTGGCAGGCTACTGGATCTGTATCTAGCACTTACTCTGCTGGTGAGGCCTGATTCCTTCCAGAGGGTTTGGAAGCTTCAGGATGGCGATTTCAGCATAGCTGGACAAGTATTGTGTAGGAAATACTTTTCGCAGTGGGTCAGAACTGTTACTCATACAAAATCCTCCAGTTTGGAGTCTGCGTAGCACTGAGGATGTTAATAAGATGCTGGCAGTGGTTGCAGCCATGGTGTTTATCACACGTCTTGGTGCAGCCTCTGATCACACGTTTCTTGGTAAAGAGATTCTGCGTAGCTCCTTGAGTCACATGGCAGCATATGTCTCACTCATGTCAGGTGTGAATACAGACCTGTCTATACTCTTTGAATTGCCCTAGGGGAAGACACCTCCTGAGCATGAGAGGTGACATGTTCCTGTGCCAGTGGGAAAACCCAGCCAGAATGTGCAAGTAGTTGCTCTTCTGTTTTTCTTGTCTATCCAGTTTCCTTCTGATAAATCTATCACTCCAAAAGTGGAGGCTTAGACAATAGTCCTTTATGAATGAAAGGTTTCAAATCAGTATCTTGGAACTGAGGGCAGTACAAAATCCATGCAGAGTGTTTGCCTTGTCTCTATAGACACAGCGTCTAAGACATGACCAGCAATACTAATACCATTTGCTGTAACAACACTTAAAGTGGTATGTGGCCCTTTTTACTCTGTGGGGAAGTGATCAACATTTGGAAAGGGTGCCTGGAACCCAGAACTATGTGTTGGAAATCCTGTTCCCATGCATTGTAAACATCCTGAAAGCTGGACTGTATCTTACTGTTGGATTGCAAATGGGAGAGAGGCTCAATATCCTGAAGGCCATTTTCTGGCACTGAGGATGTGCCGAGATAGGCCTCTTTAGCTTAGACATTGATGGAAGATGCCAGACCTTCTGCAGAACCAGATGGTGTCCTGAGTTTCTGTTGGGTGTACTCCTGGTCCTCTGGGCTGAAGTACTAGTGCTCATGCCAGTTCCTCTTGTTCTGAGAGATTTACTTCGAGTAGGACAGAATGGAGGTATCGCCATTGTGGGGACACGTAGACTAACAACATCCCTCTGGCACCTCAGTGCGGAGTCTAAACCTTGCCTTACAATATTCATGTAGGAAACATTTTAGAATAGAGCACCAGCCCAGCTGTGCACACTTCATGTCATGGGATGGATACTGGGTGGCTCTCCTTGCTCTTACTTTATTATAAAAATAAAAAGTAGGCTTTAAAATACACAGTGATAATAATCTCACCATTCTGAACTTACATCAAGAGCTGGAAGAAGAAATTCCATCTGACAGAAACAAAATCCTAGCTGAGATAAAAGTAGCATTAAATCTGCAGATTTCAGCCAGCCGGGAATCTGCTCATTCTTTCTGTGTGTGTTTACAGAAGGATGCATGTGACTAATTGTTGCTAAATGCAGTCCTCAGCAAGTACCTTTCTGAATAGGTGGTACTATTTAGTGGAAGGGAGTTCTCTTGTGTTTCACCCTTTTCCAAACAGGACTGCAATTCAGTGAGCCTATCTTTGCACTGCTGTTTCCAGTGACACAAATACATGTATGGCTCATAACAACATTTTGCATGCTCAGGATTGTGAAGTTGTATATTTTTGGATGGATAAATCATCATGCCCTAGTTAGAACTGAATCTAAGCATGCCATTCTGACCGTGCTTTTTCTAAACTTTACAGAGGAAAAGTGATGTAAATTAAATTTAAAAGGAACTCTGTTCTTTCATCTGATACGAATTACAAGGTTTAACTGCTTTAAATGCTTCATTTTTTTGTTAGTAGCAGACGTTGATAGTATTTTGAAAGCTCTCTGTTGATGCTTGCTGAATATGTGTCTGAAGGGATGATAATAAAAATCTTGTAGGGCATCAGAAATCCACCTTGGAGGAGGGAAAAAATAAAAAATGCCTGTGTTCCGAATCTTACAAGGAAAAGCTTATTAATGTCAAACCTTGAACTGCAGCAAATATCAATGCTGATGCAACCCAATTATAGTTTAGAAACTGAAACTGAACACAAAGCCCAAGGGGTTGAGGGTAAGAGCGTCTTGCTTAACAAGTTAGATCTACATTTTTCCCTGATGAATAAGAAGCACACAATTCATGTTTCTTTCCATGGTTACAGAAATCCAGAGCAAGCGTCAGGAAAGAAAGAGAAGAAGCACAGCAAATCCAGCCTACAGTGGACTCTTGGAAACAGAGGTACTTTATCATTCACTTTTTTTACCACAGTTCTATTTGATGTCAATAAAAGGTTTAAGTGCTTCTTATTACAAAAGTATATATGAATGCAGAACCACACATTTACTTGTAAAGAGATATTGATGTGGAAAATAAAGAAAAGATCTCAACTCAGTAGCTAAGCAACAGGTTTTCACCCCACAACATCACTTGCTTCAAACTAGAATTCATCTCAGTTTTAATAAAGGCCAAAAGAACTAAATTAATGTGGGATCTAATTACTCTTTCACCCACACAGACGGTCCCTTTAGGTCAGAACTGAAGAACAGAAGTGCTGCATTATGTTCAAACTTGGGTTGCTATTTCTCTTTTCCTATGTGCCAAATAATAAATGGAGAACTTTGCTTTTTTATTAGTGATGTTCATAAAAGGGATGTGTTGGTTTAAGAATCATTGTGCTCTGCAGGGGGTATGGAAGCCTGCATAATAAATATAATAATGCATAATTAAAAATAAAATGCACTGGATAATCTCTGTTGTCTGTTACGCTTACGCTGTTACATTTATGGAAGCAGCAAAATTTGGTGGTACATAATATTGGATTGCAAACCTGGCGTAAAAGCAGAATATAAATAGACTTAACTTTTTCTGAAATTGTTTTTTTCTTTGTTTCTGAACTGACATAGAGGCATTTGTTCAACATATTAAAATACTACCTTTAAAATATCACCATAGTTTGGGGTTATTATTTGAACTTCATACCGGAATGAAACTGATTTGCAGCCAGTTCTCCATTTAAGCGAGATTTCTCTGTATTCTGAGTTCTTTAAGCCTTGAGAAAGTAACTTTTCTTTATTTAGGTACCAGAGATGCAGAATTTTTGCTATGCCAACATTTCAGATTCCTATGTTTGCTACCAGACAGCAGACAGATAAGGCTAAGAAGAAGCCCACCACAGCAGTCAAGCTGCTTAGTGGCTTGATTGTTTTTTTTTTTTTTTGAAAGTATTGGAGATTTTTATATTCCAAAGCAGCCCAGGGCACTTGAATTCTTCAGAACTCCTCAACTTTTCTTCAGCGAACTCTTCGGAGCAAATACTGATGTCCATACGTCCAGTATTTAACACAGTAGGAACCTTAGCCTTGCTAGCATTAAATCTGTAGTCTCTCCTCTTAGACCTTTTTGTCCTAGTAAGTTTATTTAAATACTTGCAACAGAGTTTCGTGGCATAGTCTGATCAGCGTTTGCAAGGAACTCAGTTATCTTGGAGCAGGGATGGAGGAGGTGATGGAGGAGGTCTGCTGCACCCCTAGTTCATACATCTCATTATATCTATTCTCAAAAGCATATCCTGAAGTGAAAGATGGCACGGAGAAAGAAATGTCTGTGAAAGAGTCCTGTGGCTGATCAGCTGTGTCCTCATTAGGAGTTGTCATTAAGTAGTGACCATGGGGAATGCTGTTCAACTAAAATGGAGGCAGATGGTTTTTCTCTGATCAATTAGCTGCTCAGATTGATTTCCTAATCAGTGAGTTGAGGTATTTTGTGGCATTTCAGGCATTTTGGTGCAGTTTAATTTACGGTTAGTCTACTGAATGATCTTTAATTCATGATTGTTTAAATTGAAATTGCATATAAATTAGATTTTTTATTTGCCAACGCCCCTCAAAACGGCAGGAGCTCAGCGTCTGTAGTGGTGATGCTAACTTCCTTGATTACAGAAATGTGATCACGGTCTTATGTCTTCACTTGAATGTTGTGCTTTTTCTTTTCAAAGCTTTTTTCTTAAAAAAAAAAAAAAAAAAAAGAGATACCCTTCTATTTTCCCACTCTCCATAGCTTTTCTTTTATTTTGCATAGGAAAGGGTTAAGTTTCAGGCTGGGTGTTTTTTGAAGGAAGAACCATCAATTCAAAATTCATTAACAGACTGGCAGGCACCTGCGTATAAGAGAACAGTTTACTCGCCACAGAATAAATCATTTATTAGCAAAAACCGTCTAATTTTCCTTCAAGCAGAGTCTAACAATATCTAATGGAGGAAAGTGGTGCTGTTTCCAGTCCTGTTGTACAAGTATTGGATGGCTCAGAGAAACAATTAGGGGTTACATAGACTGGTAATGAAGCCCAGCTTGCTATTGACCAACAGCTTTTACCATCTGACAAGCTGGCCATGGGCTGCATTAAATTAGTTAAACATCTCAGTCAGGTTTCCAGTGGTCTGGGCTTGCAAGTTTGAAAGTCTTGGGTCACCTCAGCAGATTGAAATCACTGCCAGCTCCTGTACACATTTACTTCTGAAAGAGGAGTATTTTGCTTAGGCCGTAGTACATTGCTTGCAAACAAAATATGTTCCTAGGAACTGTAGGCAAGCGTCACAGAAGGTACTGATGCTTTTCTGCAGGTGAGAAGTTCATCACCATTTCTATATATGCAAACAAAGACGTCATCTCACAGCAACTGTTTATGACACAATTTTTCCTTTATGGACATTGTTTATCTGCTAGATTTGGAGCTACTGTTGCTGTTGCCTTGCTCTTACTGACCTTTGCAACATATCCTGGAACTCAAGCAATAAAATTTGCAATTTCCATTTCTCTCTTTTTAATAAAATCTAATGCACATCAGACTGTTCTAATGAAGGACTGTTAGAAAGGTAAATAATACAACTGTTTGTGTGACTGTCTCAGGGGTTAGCAACAAATATTCTAAGTCACAGAACTGGCTTCTGGATAGCTGGCTCTGTATGAGGGAAGCTCATGGAGATTGTTAATACGAGATGGTAAGAGACAACCAGAGCACTTTTCAATGACACTGCGGTTGGTTTCTTTTCCCTTGTAGCGGAAACGCCTTGCATCAAATTATTTGAATAACCCCTTGTTCCTTTCAACAAGAGGTAAGCATATTTTAAAATGAATATACTACTATTCTAATGACATGTTAAATATTTATTAGTAGGATTTCATATGAATTACTGCTAGGGTACCATAGGGCATTACTTTGTGTAAGGTCCCTGCACTTTTTAGTGTGCAGTGAAAATAGATGGTTTTGCTGCAAAAACAATTGAAGGATAAGGCTAAAGTTCAAAACTGTGGAGAAATGGATCCAAAATCTCTGCAATCAGTGGAAAATCTGATCTCTAGTATTGTAAGCACCATGCAGTGAGAAGACTGATTGAAGAAGTCAGTGTTGCCAACCCCAAGTGCTTAAAAATATATACTGAAAAATTGAGATTTAAAAAATAATTTCTGTTCTGGGTTTTTCATTTGCTGCTTTTCATCAGCTTTAAGAAACTGCTGTCCATCCTCAAGGGCTAGAAATTTACCATACTTTTTGCTTTAAAAACAATGGCCGAAAAACCACACAGTTTTTCTGACTCCAAGAGCTGGAGACATAAATCTAGATTTGATGGCCTTGAAGATGCCTGCCAATCTTGTCTTTATAAAAACTTCAGATGCTGAAAATTTCATGGTAAAAGCCTTGAGAATGAACAACTCAGAAGAGCCATTTGGGGATGATGATGATTGGCTTGTGTGAAGAAGCTCATTCCAGGAAAAACATGCAACAGATAGAGAACGCAAAGAGTTGGGAGGTGGGAGGTGAAAGAAGGAGAACATTGAGTACAGTTTAATTCTTCAGACTAGGCCCATGTAGGTTTTTAAGAGAGAAAGTGAGAAGTTTGAGTTGCATGTCAGAAGAGGAGAGAAAGCCAGTAAAGAAATGTGATTATGTCCTTGCCCTCAAGTTGCCTTTAGAACTTGGGTTATACTGTGGTGCCTTAGAGGTGAGGGAAGACAGACCTTTTTCTAAGCCAAATGTTATTTCGGTATTAGGAACGTTTACAGAGATAATTTCAATTAAGACGTGAAGTTTTGACAGTTGTTCAGTGTTGGCTTGATATCTCTGTCAAGTGTCAGGTTTACTGCTTGAGATTCACCTTTCTGGCCCTGCCTTGACTTCTTGCACCACAGGATCACCAACTGAAATGCAGCGGTGCTTCTCTCTTCCTTCAAAACTTCATGTGCTAGATGCAGACAATTGGCCTACTTACCATATGCCTCTAATGCACAGGGTCTCAGAGGACAAGAGAGGTTATAACACAGTAAACAGCTATGATGACATGCCTCTTAGCAGGAACCCATGCTCATGTGAGCCCCAGTGGAAAAAAAAAACATTATTCCTGGCTTGGTTTTATCTTCAAAATTAAAATTACAATTTATTATTTGTCTTATCATAGCACTTGTTTTTCCCATGCAAGCACATGGGAAAACCAGGGGAGAATGCCAATGTTAGCAAGCCATGCTGTTAGCCTCTTGGTGGATTTTGTTTAACTTAGGATTTGATATCTCTCACCTTCTTTCTGCCATGGGTTTGCCATTTCATTTGCAAGGAAGTAGGTGGGTCACAGAGCTCCAGTGATGTGTCTCTCTCCGAGCCGTTTGGAAATCAGCACTCTCTCTACCTAATCAATAATTCTTCTTCAAGTCCTGTGTCTTTGGTTTTCCCAGCATCCAGAATGTGCGCTAGGATTCTGCATTTTCTGACAATTTTAAGCTGAACTTCTTTATAGCAGAACTCCCTGCCTCTGTAGAGGTTTATTAGCTATGTGCACAGGGCACTGTTGTGCTAGATGCTCTGTAAGCGCTGAACCGAAGGCAGATGCTGTCCCAGGCAGCTTGGCACTGCAGTGGTGTACTTGTCAGCCTTCGGTGCAGAGCTGACTGCCCCTTCTCCTGTAAAACACTCCTTTAAAAAAAATTGTCTTCAGTTTAATTTTTCAGAAACTAGAAGGCAGAAGTGGACATATTTTAAGATGTTTAAAACTTTTTAGTAAAAGTGAGCTGAAAAGAGAAGTAAACAAACTAAAAAAATCCCTATGAAGTACCGGAAACAACTATCATTTCCAGAAATGCAGAAGAGAACAATTCTTGTAATTTTTCAGCAAAATGTCAATTAATCAGGATTCATTTATCTGAAAATGTCTTACCTGAAATGAGGTCACATCCCCTGACATGTATCATTTGTAGAAAAGACTCTTCAATTATCAAGCCCCTGTTTATCTGAATAACATCTATATCCCCTGAGTAATCGCAGTGTTGTATCGTGGTGGATCTCTGTGTGTGTATTTGTGTATATGAAGTGACATCTACAGATTTTATAAGTCTGTGATTATTTATGGAACTCATTGCCAAAGGATGCTACAATTGTTGGAAAAAAGTAGACAAATTTATGGAAGGAAAAAAAATCTGCCTAAGACTGCTAAATATAGAAATGAGGACGCAAACTCCAGGTTAGGGAAGCCCATAAACTGCGTGCGTCTGGAAGGATACTTCTGGAGCAGACAAATTTAGTTTGTGCTTGCCCTGTTATTGCACTCTGCACAGGAGTGGCAGCACTGGATGCGGTTAGCAAAGGACCCCGGGCTTTGGTCTAACTTAGGTGAAGCCATTCCTTCATTCTTATGTTCCTCTTTTTACATGTGTGCGAGATGTAAATGTGTCTGCATCATCACTTGTATAAAATGAATGTGTAACAGCAGGTTGGTCTGTATGTAAGAGATCACATTGTGGCAGCTATATTCCCATTTGTGATCAGAGAGGGAGCTGAAGAAGGACAGAAATATCAGTTTGGTTGTCTCCACTTTAATCTAAAGAAAGGCCTCTCCATCAGCTGTTTGTCACAGGGACAGCATGCATCAGCCTCTTACAAATCAGCAGCAAAAATTACAACCCACTGTGTGGTTTCCATAAAGCCATTAACATTTTCTCGCTTTTTATTTTTGGACCAAAGTGTGATGAATTTCACAAATACTTTTATGAAAGGCTTGGCCTGCTTTCCAGTGTGCTCTGATGGTTCTTGTTCTTAGCAGGCTGTGAATGTAATCACTACAGACTCGGTTCATCAGAAGGTCAGAAAATCTTGGTGGTTTGGCTGGGAGTAGTTTGATGATAAAGAGTCGATGATAACATAAAGCTCAGTCACACAAGTAGTTGACCATTTTGGCCATGAATCAGCTGAACATTTAAACATGTGTTTAACGGTAAGTCAGTGGCACCACTTTCATACTCCAAGTTAAGCACCTGCCTAAGTGCCTTGCTGGTTCGGGGCCAGACTGTTCATCACCCAGCAGGCTGAAGTCCTTAAGAAAGACTTTTGGACTAGTGACATGTGGAGAGGAAGTCCACTTGAAAATTTTTGAAAATTTGAAATAGAGTCTGTGCTTCTCATACAATGATTTTTTAGCATCAGATCTTCAGACAGAGGATTCCTGAAATGTAAATTTTTAAATCTCAAATACTAATTCCACTACTTGCTGTTGCATTCTTTGCTGCCTGCATTAATTTTGGCAATGTCCTGGTCTCCTGCGTCACAGCTTGACTAAAATTACTTCCATAGCTGAGAACTAGCATTCATGGTAGCGATGTATTTCCCACTAATCTGTTGTCTGCCCTTCTTTCATATGCTAGCAAATGAGGATCCATTCTGGAAGGTATGTGTAGCAAAATTTGTGTATTATCAATGTCCTTCTCATCCCTGTGTAATTCAGCGCTTGCTTCTGGTTATTGTAGTCTCTGTCGAGGTACAAAATTGCAGTATTCTCTTTGCCTTTCATACTGCTTGTGTGAAACATTTCCCACTTAAATAAATCTTTGAGTCTCTAAGTTAGAATTTCAAAGAGATGAACTCTTGGGCTTTCCTATTCAAGGCTTGAGTTTAATCCCTTTGTAGAATCCACTGATTGAGAAATTGCTAGTACAGATTTGTGGTTTTAATGAAAATTTTAAGAAAAATGCTTAACTATTCTAGTTTGTATAGATTAAATCTCTTTACATTGAGGTTAAAATTAAGATTTTTTGAGCACATAATTTCTAAAGAGTAATATTTTGGAGAGCAATTTTTTGACAGGACCGAGTTAGGACTCAGGATGTAAGCCTGACTAAAACTATCGTGAAACATTATAATTAATATCCCTAAAAATGAAAATATTCTTTTGGAATTAACAAAGGCACAAAATTATTATTCTCCTTCCTGGAAAAGCACTAGGAGAATTCAGGTTTTTTTGTAATGATTCACAAGCCATGAGAGTTTCAAAATCAGTGTCTCCTTTATTAAAATGCACTTAATTATACAAAGAGTAATTAACGTTGCCACCAGATTAGCATAGCAATTTACTACATGACATTGTAACTTTGTTGATGAGTCTTAGTTCATTTTATATATTGCTTCAGACAAAGTACTAATCAGTCTTGTTGGAGAAAGGTTGTCAGAGAGAGTCTGAATAGAGAACAATTAGTGCCAGGGAGAATAGAGGGACAGAGGGGCCCTCTAGAGGAGCTCACAAAAGAGGGCACATAGCAAAAGGTTGTACTTGAGCAACCAGTTTTCATAGCTGCTCTTTGAGGCAATGGGCATAAAACATGGAACTGTGCTTTTTCCCCAGAAACTTTTCCTTGCTTGCTTCCTTCTGCTTTGGACTTGAAGGACAAGTGATCCACATGCTGACTTTGATCCATGTTTCAAAATAGAGCTGCACATGGTGATGCATGTGTTGGGAGTGACACATAATCAAAACCAAGTGAATTCCTACATCACAAGCTGCCTATATTACTCGACTCCCTCCTGTGTTTGATCAGTTGGGTTTTATTTTTCTGTCTGTTTCAGTTTATGGAACTTGCTTCTGGCTGGTTTGTTTGTTTGTATTTCTTGCTATCATACACCATTATTTCTGTCTTCTACAGTGGCCAGGGTGCTTTTGACAATTAGATTTTGTGTTTGAATGAGCCTGTCTGCTGCAACAGTGGCTGTGAATGCTGTCCAGAGAGAAGTTCTCAATGGCTTGACTTGACCCAAACCATCCCTCTTGTTCTCTTGCAGAATGAGATCCACCACGATGAACACTGCACTGCTTGCAAGCGTGGCATTAACTTGCAGCCCTGTGGCACATGTCCCAGAGCATATCACCTCAACTGCTTGGACCCGCCCCTCAAAACTGCCCCCAAGGGGGTATGGGTCTGTCCAAAGTGCCAACAGAAGGTAAGCTTCATGGAGCGTAGCACATCAAGAAAAGAAAACTCGAATTTGTGTACCACTAAACTAATCTAACCTGTGATCACAGCTTAGGGGACCACATTAGCTAAAGTAATACTGAGAGGTTTTTAGTACAGGTAGAAGCATTTCTTTCTGGTATTTTCATCGTACCGGAGTTAGAACATGCACTGAGTGCCTTAGCTTCCCTGTAATCGCCTCTGCTAGGTTTGTCCTTTTGAAATGTCTCTCCATTTCCTTTGTTTCCCTTCTTTACAATAAAGCCACCAGCATGTAGGGTTGCCAGACAAGTAATGTAAATCTTATAGATGAGAGAGACAGTGTCAGAAGCAGACACTGTTAACCAGTGGATCTGAAAGCTGTGAGGAGAACACTTCCTTTTCTTTAAATCATTTATTACACATAGCTATTGATCATAGCCATGTCAGAAATGCTAATTTGTCTAGTTGCTGTGAATAATGCTGATTGCACGAACAGGAAAACAATTACTAAAACAGTACAGCATCACTAAATTGTAGAGTCGAGGCTTAGATTTTGTGCCTTAGAGTTCTTTGTATTTACCATTGAGATCACTCTTATGTTCCCTTGAAAATGTCAAGGGGGAATTCCAGCATGCGGTTGCAGAGAGCAGAGCAGCCTATGGTTAGATATGCGCACTCATGTTTTCAGATGGACCAACAACCTCTCCCATGCTCAGTCGACAACAATCCTGACAGTGTGGAGATCTGCTTGTCAGGGGCTGAAAAATGTCTTCTGGCCATGGCAACAAGAAACAGATGATTTGTAACCCCCTTTTAGCACTGTTTGCTAGTGCTGTTTATAGCGATGTGTAAAGGAGTAAGCCCCAATGGAGACCGCTACTCAAATTATTCTCTCGTTACTTTTCAGCTCATGAATTCTGAGACAAGGACCCTAGATCTGGTCCTGCAGAGCTGTGAGGCTGGAGGAAGAAAAACCTTAATGTGTGTCTTCGTGGAGTTCTAACTTTTTATTGTTTCCTGGGCTTATAGGTGTTAAAGAAAGATGACAATGTGCCATGGACTGGAACTCTGGCTATTGTTCACTCCTATGTTACTCATAAAACAGGTAGGGATTAACATAACTATTGACAAGGAATTCCCTGCTCGTGACAGGCAATGCCATTTGAGTCCTTCATGGCACTGATATTAAAGTGGTAGTGTAATGCTACCAAGTGTCGTGGCATTATTAAGAAAAGGGCCATAAGGGGCTGTAGCTAGGAACAGCAGGTCACTTTCTCTCCCCTTCCCCTTAGTCTGCTTCTTTGCTACCTTATCTCTTTGAGGATGCTGAGATAATCTCTCAGGAACTTCACTCCATGGAATAGGCTATCATGAAAGTGGTGGCTTGCTGGGGACAGGGCTGAAAAGGAGTTTTGAGGCAGAATCGTATTAGGCTGGGAGGTGGAGAGACAGTCAGGCTAGGCAGAGCCCTGTAACTGGGTGTGTAGCATGATGCCAGACGGCTGCAGCAATATCTGCTCCTAATTGTTTCAGTATTATTTGGTATCACAGTCATTACTATCAGATGTTGTATGATATCTGTGCATTGACCGTTACTCTTTTTTGGTTCTCTGTTGCATTCTTACAGTGGGCTGTTTGGGGCATTAGATCATATTTGTAAGGAGCTTTGCAGAGGTCTGGTACCATTATGATTGTGCTTTTCAGCTAGGGTTGCTGAACTATTGCCATTCCAGGTGACTGACCTGTTCTTTATTACCATTCACCTTTTTCTTGGAGACTTCCAGGACCACATGTCATCCAATGATTAATTCTAATTAATCTCAAAGGTGCGGTATAGCTTTAGGGTTGTCCTGTGTGCTAGCCGTTGACATAGACACATGCGTGCAAGCAGAAACTCCAGATTTATTTGGCTACACATGCTGACAAAAGGCTAGCGAGACCTGAAACTCACCATTCAAAATACATGCTTCTGCTTCGTGTTGTCAAGCGCACGGTTTTACCATATGTCCTTTTCTTAACTTCTGCATCCTTAATCTTATTGTTCCGCAGTCAAAGAAGAAGAGAAGCGAAAGTTATTAAAGAGAAGCACTGAGCTGAAGAGTGAGCATAGACAGTTAGAAGAAAAAGATCGACTTCTCAACAATGCAGTGAAGGTAGGACACCTGACTTGGGACACAGAGTCTCCTGCAGAGATGTTTATAAAGAATTCATGCTTGAAAAACTGATATTTTGTGGCTAGAAAATGATTTATGCTCCAAAGCTACTGATGTTCAAATGTGAATGTGTTTCTCTCTCTGAGGAAAAACACGTGGATTTCCTTTATGCACAAAAGCAAGCTGCTTTGGCAGGCTGAGGAGGAAAAATCACCTGAATTCCCGTTGCACACAAAAAAGCCCAAAAACCAAAATACCGTTGCTGCCTTCCTCCTAGTGCTCTGATCTGCCCAGTGACTTTAAGGCAATTCCATTCTCCAGGTGAAAAGTTTAGTCACAAGCATGTCCTCCAGTGGTAGCTGTTTGTCCATTAGCTCAGAACTCTTGAGATTAGGTAGAAATAACCATCTTTATTTGTTTTAGGGGCTGAATGTTGTAACAACCTCTCCATGACTGGAAATGGATTCACAATCATTTTCTCTGTGAACTCGTTTCCAAGCTAAACATTGGCTGGAGATGTCTCCTGCGCATACTGTGCTATGAGGACCAGTCTCTGGCAGCAATGAATGGCCTGAGTTCAAAACCATAATTCCTGTTCTCCGTGGGTGAAGGAACTAATCTGGGACTACCTCACCTCTGTACCACTCTTAAGGGGTAGCTGTTAACTTGCATGGCAGTCTCAATAAATATTTGAAACTTCCTTACCCTGGAAAAATCAAAGTGGCAGCCGCAGGAGTAACTGGTCACTACTTGTTTTACCATTGCAGTTATCCAGAGGAGGCATGTTAAAATATTTATCACATTTAAAATAGAGTGGAAGGAAAAGCAGTAACTTATTAAAAGACATCACAGTGGGGAATATTCCCTGTAAGCCACCATCAGTACTAATGGAAACACACATGTGTATGAAGTGACTCTGGGGTACTGCGTATCTTTAGTACGTAGGAGAGTGCAGTGGGATGAGGTTCAGAAAGAGGAATGCATTTGGGGACGCAGTCAGCTACCAGCTGTATGTAGGGCTTCCAAAATCAGTAAGATTTCTACCTAAGCAGAATCGGGTTCTTCCAGTGGGCAATGCTGTCTCATTTAAATGGTAATATCAGCTGATGATTATATTTATTGGAGATATATCCACTTGAAAGGAGAAAAGCAGTTAGTGTTTCAGCGCGGGGCAATTTCATTTCTGACATTTGCCTTAACAGAGGTTTACGTTAAAGAGAACACTCTTATACACACCCCTGTGGACCCCTGGGCCCACTGGGAGGCCACCGTCCCTTTCTCTATAGCAGGCAGGCTCGAGTTTTTGGTCTGTCGCATAGTCCCTTGCAGGCCAGTTGATAGTGTAAGGGATAGGATGTTAGCTGCAGCAGCATTGAGCTGGGGAGGGAAGGGAGAATTGCTGATGCTTCCTTATCTCTTCTTGGAGAAGAGGTGGTATTTAAAAGACATGTAGATGTGGCACTTAGGGACATGGCGGAGTGGTGGACTTGGCAGTGTTAGGTTTATGGTTGGACTCAATGATCTTAAAGGTCTTTTCCAACATAAAGGATTCTGTGACGCTGAGAGGGAGATTTGACATGCCTTCGTTTGGCTCCTGTTGTCACGTTCATTTTCATGTGGATTTGTATGAAACGTTTCAAGTGATTGTGGGGTGCAGTTTGGCCACCCCAGAGGAAAAAGACTTTCTTGTGACTGCAGTGGTACAACAGTAGTGTCTTAGATCAAGTTTTCTGCCAGAAAGATACTGACATCATGTTTAGAGAGATCAACTTATCTTCACAGCACTGACTCCCTAAAATGTGTGACACATACAAAATACGTCAGGGTGAGGTTTATCCCTCAAGTGTTTATCAGTGCCTTTTGGTAAGATTTAAGACCGCACTGGTGCCTTTGGTACTTTCCAGTAATACAGCTATTACAATCCTGTGCCAGTACTCTCTTTGGAGAAGGCATTTCTGCCAGGCCGTCTACAGGATGAGGTTGGAAACATCCTCTGAATGCATTTGGACTGGGATGAATATTGTTACCTTAGACAGCTGCTGCAGTGTATGCAGCACTGGTGATTACTCCATTCGTTAAGCTGTGGTTTTGCTATCCCCAAAGGAGAATATACTTCCTTTGAGCAGGACGTGCACTCAAGACACAAAAGGATGTTTGGAGAGATGTTTGACACCAATTTGAATGTATTCTCAGTCTTCCCTTCTCTCTCCCCTTCTCTTTATTTGACAGAAATGCTTAGAGCTAAAAACCAGCCTGTTGGCCCAGCAGAAAGGGACTCAGTCATCACTGGAACGTCTCAAAACCCTCATTAGACTGATACAAAACGAGCAGATGATTCAGGTTACCATGACGACCACCACCACCTCCTCCCTGCTAACTGTCCCCTGGATCAAACCCTCTTCTGCCTCCGCTGCCATGCACAAAGCCTTGCAGCAATCACAGGGTAACAACTGACAAAGCTGGCTGTGAGAGAGTGAAAGAAGGGGGAAAAAAAAACTTTATACACATGCGCAGATGAGAGATTAAACTGAAACAAAGGAGAGAAGGAACACTCTCAGTTTTGATACGCGTAGAAACTTGCAAACCAATCAGTCCAGTTTGTAGGTCACTGTGGCAGCAGGTTCCCACGGAGCGGGTTGTGCTGCAGTTTTGTATTTGCCGAGACCTTCAGTGCTTATGAGATTTTTTTTGTTATGTTGGCCTTAATGTATTTATGACTAAGGATGAAGAGGAAAAGTATGGCCGATAGGAAGCGGGATATCCTTTTGTGGGGGGCAGAAAGGTTTCCAGTTCTGCTTTAAGGGGAAAACTTTCAATGCAAAGAGTTAGTGAGCTAGTAGAAAAGTAGTTGGGCTGAAAGCTATGTGTGGGCGGGAAATCGGTGAGATAACCAGAAACTGAACTACTTAGGACTCGACGTGGATTCTTATCAGAGGAACAAAGTTGGCCCCGTTGATTCAGGTGACCTGGAGATGGGGCCGTTTTGACCAGAACGGCGTCGCGGACACTCACAGAGCCTTCGAAACAAAAGATCGGGTTTTTTTCCAGTATTATTAGAGTTGAGAATTGCAGATATTTAAATAAAGAAACTGTATGAAGTTAGCGTTTCTAGTAAAATATTGAAGTATTTTCATGCTGATGCTTCTGTATATGCGTTCCGAAGTATTTAAAAAAGTATGACTGTAAAACTCCTTACTTTTTTGCAGGTCCTTTTTACTTATTTTGCTATCGGTGTATTTTTCTCATGGAGTTTTTGTGCAAGATTTAGCATAAACCATAATAGTTGGATATCTTTGGCAGGTTGGGTTTTGTTTTTTAAAGAGATTATTTTGGGGTTTTTCTTTTTAGTTAATTTTGGATTTTTTTTAAAGAAAAAAAGCAAATAAATATTCAGTTTTTTTGTTTCTTGCCAGTACAGATAATATGCCAAAAAAGATAACTTTACATTTTTGTACTGCATTTTTATTGTTAAAAATATGTAACGTGATTTTTTTATTTTTTATTTTTTGCTTGCAGAAATATCTGCTGAAATGGTAGAGGGGAAAAAAAACAACCCTGCCTCAAGGGGTTGTTTCTCATACTGAAAAATATCAAGAGTTCTGGGGGAGGGACAGGCCGTGGAAAATTTAAAGGGTTTGCTGTTTTTGTTTTTGAACTTGATTCCTTTTTGATATTTTGTTGGATTTTAGCACATTTGGGAAGCGTTTAGCATTAGCCTGAGAAAATCCCAGTGCGCCTGCTTGTTTCACTAGCTAGTCTTCCTGATACTGCAAGGGTCCGCCTGGCCCCCCTGTAGGCCGCAGGCCCCCCCCGTCACCCTGCGGCCTGCCCGGGAAGGTAGTGATGGGCACCCCGGTTTTTCTCAAGGTCACACACACACCCCCCAGATACCATCGTCTCTGTTGTTTATGAGTTCTCCGTCAATTAGCACAACAGGTACTTAAGGAAAGCGAGAAGCCACCAGAGCACGACACAAGGCTAGTCTCTCACATCAGCATATCACATGGTGCCGAATATCATTTTTTTAAAAAAATAAAAAGAACCATGAGGGACTGGCTTTTTCCGTCGCCCATCACTAGGCAGCACATGGTCCCTTCAACCATTTTCACAACTCCGGGAGAAACTGTGCAGTACTATACAAATCTATTTTAATACACAACACTCGGTTGAACAAGATTTTTATATTCTTTTATTGATGAACAAAGTGAACTAAGTAAAACACAATTGTTATACATTGGTTATTGTATGCCAATTATGCATTCTAATGTGGCTTGCAATGTAAATGTTTTCAGGTTTAATGATTTTTTTTCCTTCTCAGACAAATAAAAAAAAAAGGAAAAGTGTGGAAGGTTGAATATGTGAAGAATTTCTGAAGAAGTGTCTTGGACTGTTAAAAGTAGTTATTTTGAAAAGGGGACTGTCCAGTGGATAGTGTGCATAGAAAAAAAAACAAGTGTTTGTCTTAAATATGCCAATGTAGTTTTACTTCTTTATGATGCATTAAACTTGATTGACAATTTAATGGTGGTGTAGTGATCATGATATCCGCTGCTGAGGGGACGCAGCATGGCGTGCCCAGGGCCTGCTGCTCTGACCCCTTCTCCAGCCAGACTCTGGCTGAAGGGGTGAAGTGACGGGTGCCAGTTTCTCCACCGCTGTCTTCATTTTCAGATTTAAATGACTCTAGAATGATTACAGTACTTTCCATTTTTTCTTTCCTTCTCCCAGGCAGAGGCACCTTGTCCACTCTTTTTCTTGGCTTCCCGCTTCTTGGAATAATTTCCCGTCCCACTCTTCCCTGGATCTGTAGGCAGAGGTGTTGGCGGTACCACAGATCTCCCTTTTCCCCTTAAGTCTCTTGTGGGTTGTGTTTTCAAAGTTTTCACCAGGACTGGTGAAATGAGAGCTAGGTCCCTCGCAGGAGTTTTCCAGTTTCTGGCCGGTGGATGATACAGAACTTCCCAATAAAAACAAACCGAATGAAAGCAAGACAACATTATAGCTGCATAAAACCTACCACAGTGCCTAATGTTTATGCAGAGCAGAACCAGGGCGGTTGGGTTTTTTTTTGCCAGGGGTAGGAGGAAAGGGTATATTTTTCATTTGGGTGGGTTGGATGGTGGTGCCATGTCTTCACTTCCTGGCAGTGTCACCTTTTATTTTTGGGGTGCAGTTAGCAGGGGGAGCTCAGCACTGCGTCCTTGCTTCCCCCACAGCTAGTCCCCTCCTCCCTCTGCTACGGGAAAGGCACCCTGATTTTTCCTAACTTTGCTTCCAATTTTAGAAGACGCCTCTCCCCCAAACCAGCAAACCCAGAAATCCTATGTAATCATCATCATCATCCTTCTGCCACCACCGTAACCTATAAACTCAGCGCTGTGCTAACAGACAGGAGCCAATTACAGAGCTCTGCATGTTGCCTTAATAATTAATGCGGTTGCAAGGGAGTGTGGGCTTATGCTAGCCTTTAATCTTCAATAGTAATTTAAATTAAGGTTTGGTGGAGATTTGTAGGAGCTACGGTAGCCTCCCTGTTCCTTGCTGCGGCACCGGGCATTGTCTTTGAAAAGAATGGGGAGCCGCGGGGTTCCCAGCCTCCCCTCCCAAGCGAAAGTTATTTTTACAGCTATGCCAGACTTCACAGCTTCAGAGCTCTTTATTTTAACATGACAGACTGTTTTCTGTGCATAGGACCTTTTCACATGCCATTAGTTATCTCGCAGAGGAGCTGCTCTGCAAATAGCCATTCGAATGAAATGTGTTGTCTCCAAGCCTGTCAGTTTTATATTTGCACCTCTTCAAATGTAATTTCGCCGACTCTCACATCTCTCGCTGTCTCCCCTTCCTCAGAAATGAGAGGAAAAGGAATGCTTCCGTCTGTTGGGAAGTACTACAGAGCGATGCCAGCCCTTCCCAGTGAGCAGAACAGGGAATGCTGGCGTGGCTTAGTTATGTCAGGATCTCAGGTGTTTTCAGGCTTCATACTCTTAGAGGAGAAGCCACAATGGATCTACTATGCCCTAAAGGCTCCAAAATCAGGAAGCAAAGTCAAGAACCCTTTTTTTTTTTTTTTTTAAATCCTTAGTTCATGATCACTGCTAGCATTTTTTGCGCCATGGATTTAATGGTAGCGTCAGTCCAGATAGCGGCTTCTCTTGTGGTGGACGTCTGGGTAAGGATGACGGCACAAACTCGACAACAGCTATATCTGGAGTTTATTCTACCTACCCAACGTACCCATCACATGCTGGTTTCCTAGCAGTTTGATGGCCTATTAGGAACACTTAAACTTTTAGAAGAGTGCATTATAAACTGATGCGTACTTTTTGTTCTGTGTTCTGCAGGTCCTCTGTAGTTGAAAAGAGAGACATTATGCTGAAATGAGTGGCAACAGCCACATCAGATAAAACTCCACTCACTTTAATCAGGTTTTGCCAACTGCAGCTTATTTTGCTTAGAAAATGAAGCCTGGCTTCTGAGATCAATCACTAGCGACTGACTGGTGCAAACAGAAAATGCCAGACTCCGCTTCTGTAACCCACTTTTAAGTTCACCATGGTGAATATCATTAAAGCAAAAGGGTTTTTTTCCTCCCTTAAAAAAGCAAACAAAAAATTAAATTGTCATGATAGAAAAAATACTACAAAGCGTACACAGGCACATAGAGATTCTAGCCAGGGAGAAAGGAAAAAAAAAAAAGATGCCATTGCTCTTTGAAGTTGTTGTTTGCATTTGTACTGGCGGATTGCAGATGACTTCTGTGCTGTTTAAATGCAGCAGAAATGCTACACCCCAACCTTTGATTATCAGCCTCGCTCATTAAGCGGTTACCACAGAAATTTTAATTCACTTCTGCATTTCATCTTTGGGCTGGAGATGCAGCAATAAAAAGCCTTTCCCCTCAATGTTCATGCTGGAAACATCGCCAGCCGGCAATCCGATTGCTGTTGACAAAGCAATCTTCCAGTCGCTGAGATGTAAACTTCGCCGCGAACATCTCGGTGCTTGTGCTTTGTCTGTTCCGCGTGGGAACGGCGCAATTTCGTTGATCATGTGCACTCCTGCCCCCCGCTACGGTTGTGGCTAGACTGCAGCGCAGAAGTGCTGCCGTGATTGCGGCTCTCCATCGCCTGCCGGGGAGGTGGGCCGGCCCAGCGAGCGGGTGGTCTGGCTCACTCATTGCACTCTTGAACTCCTGCACGCTTACCTCCCTCTCAGGGAGCCAGAGGGAAATGTAAGGAGAGCCCGGGGTGCCGAGCAAGAATCATGGCTAAGGCGTTGCCCTGAAAATCAGAGTGATGCTACCTTCGTTATTTTCCACTTGAGGAGGCTTGAAATAATAATTTCATAAGTGAGCCCAATATCTCTTCAAAAATTACATCTCATCCTCCCCCCAGCTATACACACGCCTCATTTTCTGAAGTGGGGAGGTTTGCTTCGGCAGCACAAGGGAG